AAGAAAACAACAGAAAACAGACCATCTAAGTATTTTTGATGACCAGAACAAAGTTATAGAGGGCTCTAAAGTTCATTGTTGAAAAAATCATGCCTAAAAATTGGAAAAGAAATCAAAGATCACACACATCACTTCTGTCCCTATTCTTGCCCTGTTCTACAGTGTATAACAAGGGCATATTTAGTGTGTTCCATTGCCCTAACAAGGTAAATAACATAACAGTGAATAAAAATTAACAAATATTTGCAGAAGGTGAAGCAAATATTATTCATTAGTCTTCCCTTTGCCTTCAGTAAATAATTGTTTTTATATAATTGCTCAGGTGCTTTTGAATTCTTTTATAAATTCTGTAAATAAAGAAAACATTGCCCATATTTTGTTACAACTGTGTTGATTACATGCATCAACATGAGCAAGCAGTTTTGAGAGGTTTATTTTTTTAATACCAAAAACTTACCAAGAAATACCAAAAAATACCAAGAACTTTTATCCCTTTTGTTTTGAAAAGTGTTCTGCTAACCTTTTAGCATCTTTCATGCTCTTCACAATTTAATTTTCTCCTCTTGCATTTATCACTCCCTTGCAAACATTTGACAGAGTGCAAGGTAGCCATTTTGAAATTTAGTGCTCTTGCTATAATCACCCTGTGCACTGTAATAATAGCAAGATATGATGCAATCCTTGCCCAATTGCATGTGCATCTCTATAATCACCTGAGTGAGCAATTACACTGATAAAATATTTATCATTGAGGTCACCACATAACACAAGGTAAAAACAACAACAATTAACAGCACAAACAACAATGCAATGATCAATCATGTTACATGTGCATGATTTTCCAAAACTTTGGCATATCATGATGGCATAAAAACTTCAATGTTTAATTTCTTACAGAAAAAATAGATTTCTCCTACACTGCAATGTAAAGCTTTATATACATGTGAAAGATGATGGATGTGTACCTTTGTGTCATTAAGCATTCTGATGTTCTACTTATCTGCAGGACAGCAGGACAGGTACTAAATGTACTTATTATGTGAAGCACTTCTGCCAAAAAAAAAACTGGATTTGGTAGAATTGTTGAGTACCCTGAAAGCCCAATTTGATTTGCTCTTTTCACTATCATGTATTGGAAGCCTGAGATGAGCCAGTTGGTTCATACACCTTGGGACCACAAACCATTAAATGGTAGCATCTTTGTAACATCTTAAACTTAATATTAATTTTGGTTTATTCACTCAGAAGGTCTGTTTCCATTTACAACAACAGTAATTTTAGAGCAAGTGCATTACCAAGTTTAATATTATACTTTAATTGGTATGACTGAGTTCCAAAAATGGTTAAATATGGTTGGGACATGTAAGAAATATAGATGCTTCATAGTTAGTGAGTGTGTGCAATTTCTATTCACAAGTTGTGAAGAATAAAACAACAAGCAAGGAACAAGCAAGTTTTTGTCTAGACTATAAGTAGATAAAAATCATACAAGCAAACTAAACATGATGAAATTTGAGGAAATGCAGTCTGTATCTGTTTTATAAGCTGAAAATAAAACAACATTTATATTCCTGCCGGAACAAAATAATGACAAAAACAAGGAATAAATTAGTTGATTGAAAAGCCTTTGTTAATAGCATGGGAATTATAGTGCCAATATGAAACAGAAATTTTTGGCCATTCACATAAGCACAAATCAAATCGCAACCATGGATTGCAATGCTTTCTTATCAGAGTCAGAATCTAGAAATTTAAGTCTTTCATACCATTTTGGAGGAGATTCCACTTTAGTTCCCCGGATTACAAATGTCAGGGATTGATCAAAGCATAGATTTAGACAAAGATTGTGATCAGTTTGCATGAGGCAAAATCAGAGTGATTTTCACCAATTTTCATGAAGTCCAACTGACATCTTGTTTTCGAACTCGAAGTCATGATTCTACAGTTGTCATGAACCAGTAAACCATGCTGACATTCACTCTCATTCACTTTGGCAAGCCCCCACAACACAAAGGAAAAAAAAATATTGCTTTCAGTGGTCAAAAATTTCATCTTCAACTTGTGATTGGTCAGATGGCCATTTCTCAATTGTGAGAAAAACCATCCTACCTATAAGGATTTGTGCATTTAATTACAAATCCTTTTTTGTTTTGTTAATTTAGCTTGGAGTAAATCTCAGTATGTATATGATAAACAAACATATCTTGACACACATTTCAAAAGGTTTGGTCCTAGTAAAACTTAAACTGTTTCAAATATACAACAATGATAAGTCATCCACGAATACCGGTGTGGGATGCCACAATCGTATGTGCCTAAAGCTTAAAACGATTCAAGTAGACAAATCATATATTAGTAATGCTCAATTAACCACCAAGTGCATTATTTTGTTTCTTTACACGATTGCTGCCCGAAGAAAAAGCCACACTCAACTTAGCTAGCAGCATTTATCCTTGCTGAGGTCATTATTTGAACCAACAGTGAGTGGGAAAATTGATAACAGCTCTTCCCAATAATGAGTGATGAACGGCAAGGGAGAGAGTTTAAGTACAAATGGCAACTTTTTTCTGACCATCACGTTTGTAATGGAAGGCCACCTGACAAAGCAGTAACTTTTCTCATGGCTAAGAAGAGGACTCATACTAATCATGAAAATGGTGCACTTCTCAGTTTCAGTATTGATGTTAAATTCTGAATGTATGGTATTGTTACACTTGAAGCATAAAATAATTTGCTCGTAATTTCTATCGCATCATAGTTATTCAGACTTCATTTATCACGTGACTGAAATATCAAACCATATCTTAATTTTGAAATACAAAAGACTGTTAAAAGCCACCTCAGAGTTTTGAAATGAACTCGATGTTTTCGGTGTCTAACATTGAAATGACACGGTAGAAAAACACTGTAAAATCCTTCGTTCGGGAGAATAACTTTCACACTTACCTGACCCGTGAAACTTTACCAGCAGAAGAAAAAGTAAAAAGATTTCATAATCACGGAAAGATACCATCCTATCAGACCTGTGCTAATGCTCCAACGAGGAAGGTTGTGCCAAAACTTGAAAAGATAGACAAGTAAACCCTTTTTCGTTTTGAGACTGGGACCGAGTGTCACGATCATCCCCGTAAGGTTGTCAGCCGTAGTCGGCAAATTGCCTAAAAACATGGCGGATGGTACAATTTATGGATGAAAACTCGATTTATGGTAAACACTTTGGACATTTGCATGAATTATAGAAATTTTTCTTCTGGAGAAACGTTTCACTCAGATTAAACAATGCGTCAACTTGCGAATGTGTCGAATGAGAACATTGTCACCGATATCGATCACGCACGCGTATGAAGCTAAATAAAAGTCACGTGAATAAAAAATAACTTCTAACAAACAGTTTTCAACTCCATTTTCTTGTTTATCAACCATCCATTCTTTTCTTAGGGCTAATAAATATAATCAAGGTCGGGTACAGCTGATCTATTCCCTGTGGGTATGCACGAGAGTACCCCTACTCCAGGGACCGGAAACGGAAGTCAAGCGGATTACAAATGAAATAATAACGCAATCCAGACGCGCAAATTCAGTCAGTACATAGCAAGAAGTGCGGGAAAGTCCATTTGAATACATTTCTTAGAGAGTAATTTTCCTCAAATCTTGATATTAGCTTCTTCGTATATCCTCGAAACATGTCATCTAAAAACATCTCTAAAACTTTTGGTTTTGTTCCCGATGTAAAATCAACTGAGAAGCTACGGCACGAACACGAAGTGGGAACAACAACTAGCTTTGTTATGTATTACAGCTACAGTGTTGGCGAAGGTAAATGTGGGGCGCCTCAGATGAACTCTGGCTACGAAAGGGAATGTTAAGTGAAGGGGTGCAGGGGTTTAGGGGTTATGAGGAAACCAAAAACTTCCTATTGTAGCATCCCTAAAAAATTGCAAATTAGATCTACTCTTTATTTTGATTTTGAGAGACAGGAGTGTAATTCCTTCACTTTGTTTTCTTTTTTTGCAAAAATTGAAAAAAAAATGGAATAGAACAAAAAATAAAAGCATTACAGAACTTCAATAGCTAAAATGTAGTGGCTAACCTGAAAAAGGAGGGGTTTATATGTGGTTTTTACTGCCGGCTACTATAAATATGATCCAAAAGTCAATACCTGCAACACATGCCTCTTGTACAGACTTATTGACTAACTGACTGACTGACTGACTACCAGACCACATTAATAAATGAATGAATGAGTGAATGAATGTCTCTTTTACCCATAGACAGTAAAATAATTAGGACAGTACGACATTATAAGCATACTTCACTTACCCATTTCCTTGACATAGATACCTTCTTCAGACGGAAGAGAAATTAAAATAAAACATAAAAGGCTCCATATTTGTTTCTATTCTTCAAGAATAGAGCCTTCTCTTTCCACAATTGTCATCATGTAGACATGATAGAAAATGTACCTAGAAGAACATAGAGAAATAAACAGGAGGTTCGGAAACCAAATTTCAAATTTCCCTTTTTAAAAACTGAGTTAGATATTTTGGGTCACAATGACGGGGAAAATAGCTGCAGACTGCCACACCCTTTTACTAAAGGGACCAAGAATTCTTATCATGTCTTTTTCAGTCTTCTTTAATCTCTCGGTTCATTTTTTGTACCACGGCCTTCATTTTTGTTGACTTCATTCGTTAAACTCTTTACAAGAGGCACAACTTGTTCATCGCATTTCATAGCTAAAATTCCACATGAGAACAAAAGTATTTGTTTATGTTCAACGTAATACCTTGGATCGGAAACTAGTTCTTCAGCTTTAATTTCCTTGCTTTGAATCTGAGAACAAATAGAGAATGCTGAGCAAAGAATTCTTGAAAACTTTTATGTAAGAAAGCATAATGAAGTTTTTTACTCAATTTGCTGCCACCAGGCTGCACTGAGAGAAATCCAAATGCAGTCAAGCCTTTTGCATGGTTTCCCAATTCACTTTCATTAAAATCCAATTAGTCGTCAAGTAAACCATTTAACGCTACCAACCCGAGGCAATTCAATTCCGGTTTGTAAAAGTTGGTCAAGTTTTCGTTTGTTTCTGATAGTCCCTTCTTTTTTCTATATCTTCTCAAAACACATTCAACCGTATCCAAGTACAGTTGAGCTCTGTTTTCGGGGAGTGTGCCCTCAAACTCTTCGCATAAAAGGCAAAGAAGTGCTGTGTTTAGAGGATTGGCTGCCATTTCTCTCATGTTTCTATCTCGCGACATCCGTCTTGAGAGCTTGATGGCTAAATCCGGCCTTTCTTTGAAGTACTTGCTGATAAATCCTTTCACATGGTCTTCAGTAAATCCTTCGATCTGAAGCAGCGTGTCACAGCATTTTCTCACCTCTTTTCCAGCTTCGTGTCTTGCTGTTGCAACTATGTGGCACCTGGGGAGCACTCTTCCTTGGATTAATTCGGAAAAAATCGACAATTTACTGGATGGTAATTCATCCAATCCATCCAATATCAATAAAATGCTGGACTGATTTTCACGAATAAACTGAAAGGATAGTTGTTTCACTTCTTCATCGATGTCTTGGGGGAGCAGCTGATCATCAATGGCTTCCCAAACGTCAGAATGGATATCTCGACATTTCAGCAACAATACCACTTTAAATGCTGTTGAGCCGCAGCCCTGAGGCTTTCGCTGTTTTGTGGCCCAGTCGTAAGCGTACTTTTTACAATAGGTAGTTTTTCCAATACCAGGTTCTCCTTCAATCAACACTGTTCTCGGCGCTGAACACTCTTCATACGGGTCTAGTATCGACAACATCTCAACAAATACGTCAGTGATTTCTTCTCTCGTTTTCTTTCTTCTGACCGCTTTAAGCCTTGTAAAAATATTGCCAAGAAAAAACTGAAACTCTTCACACCATGGAAACGGTGAGAGCCATCCCTCGCGAGTCTTGTACAGCTGGCGAATTCCATTGATAAACTCAGTTGGATCAAAAATACCTAGCAGTAGTAAAATGAATAAGAAATCTAACGAATGCAGCAGTGCGAGCAAGAATCTCATATCAATAATCATATGCTCGCAACATGCAGGAAGTTTATCTCCATGGACATGATTAATCGAGCTAGCTTGCCACAAGTCTACTGTATCTAAGCGTTAGAGTGTCCGAAGTACTGAATGGAAGGTAGTAGGTTTGAGTCGCAACTGAATAAAAGTCGTACGCGCTCATTAACTATCTATTTCCATTAAATTTCAAAATCATGATGTTGCATTTCTAGTGTTCTTATTGGTTCTCTCAGTTTCGGTTATCATCTAATATACAACCTTATATGGAAATGATTTGTTTAAGTGTCGCTCAGCTAAATCTACTTTTGGCCGGAAGCAATCACTTCTTTTAGTACATTGGAAATTAACTAAAGCAAATGCTAGTCAACGTCATATCGGTAACAAAAAGTAAAAGTCAAAAAGTTTAATATAACCTGATTGAATGGAACTTAAATTTGAAGTTTAACTTACAGCACTAGCTTCATATCAACGCTTTATGGTCAAGAAAAGGTATAACGTTGCCACAACAGAAAGAACAGCCGGTTACCTTAAAAATTTCATCATAGGAATTACAGAATTTGTGTTGAAATATCTACGCTCTGACAGGATCTTTCATTACAAAAACTCAACTTCGACTGCGGAAAAGAAGAAGTATAAAATAAATTTATTGAAGCTGTAATGAAAATATAGCTCTTGTATATGTGTGATTTTACATAGTGGAGCATAGATTTCGCAAACGGACAGTAAAAGTACAGTCTGGTATGGGTTATATAAAACCGCACGATCACAACATATTTACCTGTCCTGCAATGAAAAAGGAAGACCAAGAATAACGAGTACTGAAAGAGTCCGATATATAGAGGAAACAAGAAAAAAAACGTGTTTCTGGAACAAAATCTAGTGTTCCGTCCCCTCTAGGTCTGAATTCGTCAGCAGAAACAAGACAAAAATCTGTTTCCGAAAAGTAACCTAGTATTTCCGTCGGCATTCTGTCTGATTACGTCAACGGAAACAAGAGAAAAACGTGTTTCCGGAACGTATCCTTGTATTTCCGTGAACATTTAGGTCTGATTACGTCGATGGAAATATAAAAAGTTACACTTGCGGAAACATTTGTTTCCTTCAACTGAAACCTGACGGAAACATGTAAAAAAGTTGTACGGTTCCGCTGTGACCGCAGCAACGGAAACACGAGTAAACGCGTGTTAACCGTCGTGTTTCCGCAACGGTTTCACATATTTCTTCCACGTTTCCGATTACGCATTCTTGATATTTCGTCCTGTGACAGGGGCCGCGCAAGGGAGGGGCTGAGGGGGCCTTAGCCCTACACTTTTTTTTGCAAAAATAAAAAATAAATTAAACAAAAAATAATTAATTAAACAAAAAATAATTTAACAAAAATAACGGAGCCAAAAATAGCCCTTGCTGCGCGGTCCGTGCATTGTATTTTTCAGAGGGAAGAAAACATGATGCCGGGATGTTGGCAGACTCCAACCTGTTGGCAGATCTCAACCGATATGCCCTTTCGCCAGCTGAACGGCCTCTATTTATATACGGTGATCCGGCTTATCCTTTGCGAGTGAACCTCCAAAGCCCATTCAGAAATAAAGTTTTGACTGCTCAGAGGGAGGCATATAACGAAGCCATGAGCTCCGTTAGGTCTTCTGTGGAATGGCTCTTCGGAGACATTGTAAACTATTTCTATTTAGATTTTAAAAAGAACTTAAAACTTGGTTTTGAGCTCAGTAGGGAAAATGTATATTGCTAAAAGGCAAAATTGGCATCTAGCAAGAATTTTCATGATGGGTGTTTTTTGACTTACTTAAATGTTGGAAAATGGGTGGAAATAAGATATTGCCATATGCAATTTAGTATAATAATAGTATAATAAGCCAGTTGATCATTTCTTATTCCTTTTGGCGGTCTTACCTTACAGGTAGAATTTCGGTCACCTTTTTCTTAATTTGATCGCGAATTTGACATGGTGAGAGATGTTTTTGCGTAAACTAAAATTTGCGGCTAAATATTAGTAGATTGCCATTATGTTGCGAAAAGAAATTTAATTACAAATTTTACGAATTTTCTTTCTTGCAGAAACTTACTAAGACCGGAAAACCAATCAATAAAGCCGAACCCGCCAACGAGTTTAAAGCTACTGCGGTTTTACCTTATGTCAAACTTCTATCCGAACAGCTTCGCCGTTGCCTACAACAACAAGGCGTACGCGCTGTTTTCAAGTCGCAGACTACGCTAAGATCTCAGTTAGTACGACCAAAAGATGCTGTCGACCGGGCTAAACAAGATGGCGTAGTTTAAAGCATTTTACCTCTTGGTGGCTCTAATAAAACACCTGAGTTAGATCTAAGATTGTACGAGGACTTACGTTTGATAACCATATGCGGGTGCGAGGCCGTGAATGGCTTTAAAAGCTAATAACAGAATCTTAAAATGTATACGCGTTGGCACAGGTAACCAGTGTAACTCATAGAGTGCTGGAGTGATTTTAGAATATTTCCCGATATCCATAATTAATCTAGCGGCAGTATTTTGCACGCGTTGTAACTTAGCTATTTGCTCTTTGGGAAGGCCATACAATAAAGCATTACGGTAGTCTAACCTGCTCGTGATGAGTGCGTGTACCAGGGTGAGTAAGCTGTCTCTCGATAAATACTTCTTATATTCAGGTTTGGATCAAGCCAGCTTCCAAGGTTCTTAACTTGGTAGCTAGGTTTTCTCTCTGAACCACCTACTTTAATATTCATAGCCTGCAATTTGTTAAGCTGCTGGCGAGTTCCAATAATAATAAACTCAGTACTATCGTCATTAAGAAGGAGTCTGTCATGGATCAGCCAGCGCCTGATCTTCTCAATACAACATTCCATCGCACGGACTGCATCTTCCTGGGATGTGTTACTAAAAGGTTTGAAACTCAGATAGATCTGTGTGTAGTCGGCATAGCAATGCACGTGTGGGAGATGATCCTCAACTACCCTGAATAGCTTGGACACATAGATGAGAAAGAGCAGGGGGCCCAGACATGACCCTTGTGGAACACCACACTCCAGACTAAAGTGCTCTGAAAAAGACCCGTCAATGGAGACTCGCTGACCTCTTTTCGCCAGATACGACCTGAACTATTCCAAGGCCAATCCGCATATCCCAAGCTCCTCATTCAGACGAATAAGGAGGATGTTATAATTAACCGTATCGAAAGCGGCGCTAAGATCGAGCATGACCAGCAAGGTGACTTCTTGAGTGTTCATTTTCATCGGAATATCGTTCGTGACTCTAAAAAGAGCCGTTTCCGTACTATGATTTTTACGATATGCAGACTGAAACTCAGGACATAGTAAGTGAGTCATCATATGGGTGTGTATTTGCTCAAACACCATCCTTTCAGTCAGCTTTGAAACATACTGCAGGTTGCTGACAGGTCTGTAGTTTTTGTATAAAAGGTCTAGCCCAGACTTCTTCAGCAGTGGGAGGACAAGCGCACACTTCCAGTTATCAGCGAATAGCCCAGACTCAAGTGATAAATTGATCATTTTCGTTATGATCGGTAGAAGCACATCAATGCAATCTATCACCAGGGATGTTGGCATAGGGTCAAGAGTGCAGCTTTTATTTGTACTGCTGTTGATGAGCTCGCGAACCTTCTCTTCCGTAATGGGGCTAAATTTGCTAAGGGGGGGAGGTGATACTAGGGCGTAGTCATCGGGGAGTGCTGGTAGCCCTTGCGCCATGTCATCGAGATTGGAACCAATGGTCTCAATTTTCTAAATAAAGAAAGTTTAGAAAGAACGAAGTAAAGTTTATTGATCGTGGCCCTTATTACTACAAGCGTAGGGTCAAAGAGGCAATTCACATTAGACTTCACCCTAACAACATCAACAGCGTGGATGCCCACGATCAAAAAACACAACAACAGGAGAGCCGTGCGACAGCGGACCGCCGTGGGAGCAAATCACTGATCAGCAAGGATCGAAAGGCACCAATCAGAGCTGTTGAAAAACAACTAATCACAGCAGAGCATCATGCTTAAGAAGATCACGCATGACTAATCGACCTCATCGTCTGAAGAAGACTAGCAGTATGCAGTCGAAACGTCGCGATCTACATCACACGTGACTACATTGTGAGACAAACGAAAAACGAAAAACCACAACCATTTCTATGAAAGAATGACTTTACTTTAAAAAATTGATCCCGTACAGGAATTTCGTGGAAATAACCCTCCTTATACTTTTGCCACTGATATTCTAGTTTTTTTTATGTAAAATCCGTGTCGAATTCCCGATCAATATTTCTTAAATTTTAATTTAGCACGTTCGACACCTCTTTTTCTTAGAGGTGACTTAGGGCGTAAACAAGTAGTACTTTTCATCCTCCGCACTGAATTTATAATCAGGTAACTTATACGAACAGCACGTAGCTCTTTTAGGGGCCGTACCCCGGGCACGCCCTTTCTTCTCCGAATTTTTTGTTTATTCTGCTGTTATGTTACAGTCTTCGAGGACTATTTTCTCTTAAGATATCTTTTCAAGTATGATTCTAATTCTGTCAATAAGTTCAACTTAATTTCTATAATACCAGTCTTGCTTTAGCTATGATCAACCTTGACCGCAAGAGTCAGAAATTTAAGGTAGCAAATGATTTTGTAAAGCGTAAACATCTCGAAGGTACCTGCTTAGTATGGAGCTCCGTTCTGCATAGCTTAACGTGATTCGCTAATTAAGTGTAAAAGGATGACGAAGGTTAGAGATTGATAGCTCAGTTAGCGTCACCTTTTTAAGCGGTGACCCACACTTTCCTTGAGAGATCTGAGCTAGTTCCCGTTATAGTAACTTGTGTAGAAAAAGGAGAGAATAAAGAAATAGTCAACAGAACGAGTGTTAAAAAAACATCTAGCAATATCGTTTGCGCACTTTTAAGGA